TGCACCCAACAGACTACTACCCACTGCTGGTCTTCCAGACAGGTGAGGGGGAAGCTGCTTCCCACAGTCTGAGGGGGATGAAGAAAGACTACAGGGCCTTGGAGCGGATGGTGAAAGAGTCTGGGGCTCAAGTGATCTTCTCCTCACTCCTTCCATCTTCCACTGATGAGGTGGGATGGAATGGTAAAATTCAGTCCATAAACGATTGGCTTCGAGACCGGTGCTACAGGCAGGGCTTTGGATTCTTTGATAACAGCTGGTTTTATAGGGCACCATTCTGGACAATGGCATGTGGGCAAGGTTTATCTCACAGAGGCAAAAGGATGGTGGGGCACGAATTAGCAGGGCTCATTTGGAGAGCTTTAAACTAGATTCGAAGGGGGATGGGGTTGTAGCTGGGCTTGCCCCAGTGGGGCAGCACTCCAGAACTGATGAAGACTGGGAGGCCCCCTATAATCCTAGGGTGAAATCGGTGTTCTCAGCTCACTCCCTGGAATGTCTGTACACCAATGCGCAACATGGGAAATAAGCAGGAGGAGTTAGAAACCTGTGTTAAGTCAGGAGACTATGATCTGGTGGCAATTACAGAGACGTGGTGGGACAGCTCACATGACTGGAATATAGTCATGGAGGGCTATGTCCTTTTCAGGAAAGACAGGCCAGCCAGGCGGGGTGGTGGGGTTGCTCTTTATGTGCGGGAGCAACTACAATGCACTGAGTTCTGTCCAGGGACAGATGACGAGCGAGTTGAGAGTCTGTGGGTGTGAATTAAGGGGCAGGCTGGCAGGGGAGATACTGTTGTGGGTGTCTGTTACAGACCACCAGATCAGGGTGAGGAAGTTGATGAGGCCTTCTACAGGCAGCTGAGAGCGGCCTCACAGTCACAGGCCGTGGTGGTCGTGGGGCATTTTAACTTCCCTGATGTTTGCTGGAAGGACCACTCAGCAACCCAGCCACAGTCCAGGAGGTTCCTCCAGTGTATGGATGATAACTTCCTCCTGCAAATGGTGGATGAGCCAACCAGGAGAGGAGCGCTGCTGGATCTCATCCTCACTAACAAGGAGGGTCTGGTCGAAGCAGTAAGGGTTGAGGCTGCCTTGGTTGCAGTGACCACGAGATAGTGGAATTCAGGATCTTGTGTGGTAGGACCAGTAGAATAGCAAGTAGAACTGCATCCCTGGACTTTAGCAGGGCAAACTTTGGCCTTTTCAAGCAATTGCTAGGGGAAATCCCATGGGCAAGGCTACTTGAAGGTAAAGGGGCCCAAGATAGTTGGTTGGCATTCAAGGATTGCTTTTTCTGCTGCAGGCAGTCCTGAAGAGCCCTGTACCCCTGAGACCTCAGATGAAGTCAGGTCAACAGAGCGGTTTGCCTTAGTCGATGAGGAATGGGTTAGAGATCAGTTGAGCAATCTGGACATCCATAAACCCATGGGTCCAGATGGGATGCACCCGCGGGTGCTGATGGAACTGGCGGAAGTCATTGCTAGACCACACTCCATCATCTTTGCCAAGTCTTGGGAAACGGGAGAGGTGCCTGAGGACTGCAGGAAAGCAAATGTCACTCCAGTCTTCAAAAAGGGCAAGAAGGAGGAGCCAGGTAACTATAGACCCGTCAGCCTCTCCTCCATCTCTGGGAAAGGGATGGAACACCTTATCCTTGGTGCCATCTTAAGGCATATCAAGGATAAGAGGGTTATGAGGGGCAGTCAACATGGCTTCACCAAGGGGAAATCATGCTTGACCAATCTCTTAGCCTTTTATGAGGAAATAACACGGTGGATGGATGACAGCAGAGCGGTGGATGTGGTCTACCTTGACTTCAGCAACGCATTTGACACAGTCTCCCACAGCATCCTCACAGCTAAATTGAGGAAGTGTGGTCTGGATGATCAGGTAGTGAAGTGGACTGTGAACTGGCTGAAGGAGAGAAGCCAGAGAGTTGTAGTCTATGGGGCGGAGTCTAGTTGGAGGCCTTTAACTAGTCGAGTGCCACAAGGGTCAGTACTGGGACCAATATTATTTAATAAATTCATCAACAATTTAGATGAGGGAATTGAGTGTACTATCAACAAGTTTGCTGATGACACTAAGCTGGGAGGAGTGGCTGACACGCCGGAAGGCTGTGCTGCCATCCAGCGAGACCTGGACAGGCTGGAGAGTTGGGCAGGGAATAACTTGATGAACTATAACAAGGGAAAGTGTAGAGTCCTGCATCTGGGCAGGAACAACCCCAGGTTCCAGTATAGGTTGGGGAATGACCTGTTAGCAGTGTAGGGGAGAGGGACCTGGGGGTCCTAGTGGACGACAGGATGACCATGAGCCAACACTGTGCCCTTGTGGCCAAGAAGGCCAATGGCATCCTGGGGTGTATTAGAAGGGGGGTGGTTAGTAGGTCGAGAGAGGTCCTCCTTCCCCTCTACTCTGCCCTGGTGAGACCCCGTCTGGAATATTGCATCCAGTTCTGGGCCCCTCAGTTCAAGAAGGACAGGGACCTGCTGGAGAGAGTCCAGCGCAGGGCAACTAAGATGATTAAGGGAGTGGAGCATCTCCCTTATGAGGAAAGACTGAGGGAGCTGGGTCTCTATAGTTTAGAGAAGAGGAGACTGAGGGGTGAGCTTATTAGTGTCTATAAATATATAAAGGGGGAGTGTCACGAGGATGGAGCCAGGCTCTACTCAGTGGCAAACAATGATAGGACAAGGGGTAATGGGTACAAACTGGAACACAAGAGGTTCCACTTAAACTTGAGAAGAAACTTCTTCTCAGTGAGGGTGACGGAAGACTGGAACAGGCTGCCCAGGGAGGTTGTGGAGTCTCCTTCCCTGGAGACATTCAAAACCTGCCTGGGCACATTCCTGTGTAACCTTATCTACGTGTTCCTGCTCCGGCAAGGGGATTGGACTAGATGATCTTTTGAGGTCTCTTCCAATCTCTAGCATACTGTGATACTGTGATACAGATAAAAGAACTTAAAATTCTACAATTCATAGCAAAAGATTTTACAAACATCTAAATGTCGATAAAACAAACACCCTGCAATTGTTTTCTAGAGAGAAAACAAGAGAAGCCAGCAGGTTTAATTCTAATATGTACTTCAGAATTGTAATACTTTCTTTGCCTTATCACTGTTCCATCAAACAATTTGCAGTATGTAAATGCATCTAAATCACCAATCCGGCATCTAATTCAATAAAAAAATCACAACAACTGACTTAATCTATAGTCTCATTCTAACTACAGACTAATGGCTGATAAAGATAGAGGTGCAAGACAGCATTCATTACCCTATAACATGGGGAGCCCATGTTCTTTCAAGGTAAACTATTTCAGTGGTTAATTATCACCACTATTAAAGAGTTTTCCCTAATGTCTATCATAAATCTCCTTTGATCTAATTTAGCCTCGTTACTTCTTGTCCTGTTCACTGCAGATAAAAGGAACAAATAATTCCCGTTCCCTTTGCAGCAGTCCATTCCATGTGTAAGTTTTTGCACTGTAAGGTCATATTTTCTAAGCCTCTCTGTCTTTTGGTTGCAGGCAATGATTTGCCTGAGCATTTTTACACTTAAGTGTAATAATAAGAATAAGACCTTCTGCAGATTTGGAAACCAAGAGATAAAATATTTCATGCAAGGCTTAATCCAAGTTGGCTGCATAGCAAATGTTAGAAGTGCCTTGTGATTCTTCACATGAATCTTACCTAGAACAGGAATAAAACCTTATAAATGTTTGTAAACAGATTTTTTCCTGGATGAACAGAAATCAGATTCCATGATTATTAAAAAAATAACACATCTTTGGTAGTCTGACCTCAGACTCTGCCAGTCTTCTAGTAATTAAAATTGTAATAAACTGATAATTAAAGTTTTACTAAAACAATTTACTAAACAATTAGTAATTGGGTACAGCTGAAAGTGGTTCATGAGGGAGCAATGAGTCCCAAGGAGTCCTCCAGCCAAGAAAGGAGAAGCAGGAGTCAGGGAGTGGTTGTAGCTGGAGATTTCACCCTTTACCAAGAGCACAGGTTCAAGCAATGAAACTGAGCCTGCTGCCCTGCTGATGGCTACTGTTTGCCACTGCCCACTGATTCGGAGAAATCACCACCACTTCCCACCTCCATCCACCCTGTCCCCATTCACTGGTAGATAAAACTAGTAACTCATAGATTTGCCAAGCTGCAGTGGAACAGCATTCTCTTCTGTTAGACATCAGCAAAAAAAAGCAAAAGTGAATTGTTCAGACTACAGCATAAAGTGATAATGTATGCAGAAGCCCCCAACTGCTAAACAGTGTTGCTCAAAGGATTACTTGGTAGTGAGAGCTGACAAAAAGACCAATGCCTGAGGAAGAAGGCATTGCCATGTCAGCAAAACCTTCCCAGTTAATCACAAAACCTTCTCACACAAATATAGCGATATTTTCCACCTGTCTTAAATAGAAAAGATAGGTACCATTGTTGCCCTTGTTAATAGTTCATTCACAGTACAGTGAGAAAGAAAGTTCAATCAGCTGAAAAGAATTAATCTGTTTCCATGGTGCTCAGAAAAGACACAGTTTTTCTCATGATGTGCCAGCGAGTACTGCTACAGAATGTCAGAGAATGTACTGCAGGTAGAAGAGGTGTGGAACACAGTCAAAGAAATTCTGGTGGCACATGCAAGTAGAGATGCACTGAGAGCAAAAAATGTGATAAGGGGAGATGGCCTTGCTGTATGGATGATCAGACTTGGGAGAAGTTGTGCCAAAACCCTGTGTTTGTGTAGAGTCATACACCAACAGGCTGAATACCTCAGCAGGCTACTAGCAGGCCTAGATAAATGCTAACTGGCTACCAGCCCAGGCTAAAATCTTGTATATGATTTAGTAAAGCTTTAGCTGATGCTTTAGGCTTATCTGGAGAGAACACACGACTTTTCACACAAAGCTGTAGGAGCATGGGACTCTTTTATATACAGCAAAGTCAAAGGCAGGAAGAATGAGACAGGCACATTTGTCAGTAAGGGAGTGTACATTAAGGAAACAATGCTGCTCTGTAACGTCCACAATAATTACAAAGATGAAAAGGTTAGTCTATTAGTGTGCTAAGATACACTGAATACTTTCTTTGTAAAGACAGTATGGTGGGGGAGAGGAGTTTTTAAGATTTGTGTTTTATTTCTTATTATCCTACTCTAATTTGATTGGAAATATATTAAATTAATTTCCACAAGTCAAGTCTGTTTTGCCTATGACAGTAATTCTTGAGTGATCTCTCCCTGTCCTTATCTCAACTCACAAGCCTTTTGTAATATTTTCTTTCCCCTGTCCAGCTGAGGAGTGGGAGTGCCAGACCAGCATTGGTGGGCACCTGGTATCAATCCAGAATCAACCCAACACAATCAGTTATTACTCATGTTAAGAAAATCATAAGAAGGTATAGAAGTGTTTTGTTCGAAACTTATTAAAGTCAAGAGAGTGTTTATTGATATGTGAACTGGGCCTGAGGTTCGAGTTCATATATTCATCATGTAAAGTTAATGGCCAATTTAAAATTATAAGGAATCTGGAGTTTAAAAACTTTGAAGGTTGGTATAGTTTTTTAACTTTAGCCTATGATTTCCAAAAGTTTTAAATAGGCATAGATTTGAGAGAGGGTTTGAATGATAATTTATTTTAGGTGAAATTTAACAATCTTTAAGTGTACAATAAGAATTCAGAGAAGTTTCTATTCTTTTGTTTAAGCAACAGAAATAGAAGCTAAGTATTAGCAGAAAGGAATCTGACATGCACCAAATATATTTGAGTCTTCTAGTCAAGTGCACGTTAAGATTACATTATTCTAATCACATTAGTCATCCTCATAACTGAATTATATCTTCATCCTCAGGCTATTAGTGTCTGTGTCATTTCTGACACTAGCCTGTCCTGTCATCTCGGACAAACTATACATCAAACAAATTATATCCCAGCATTAGTATTTGGTTGAAGTAAACAATTCAGTAATGATACAGTGATTACTATATATTCTGGGTTTTTATTTATTTATTTTATTCTATATTCTTTGAACATCTATTTATATTCTTCATCATACTGTTTGTTCAAAGCAACCATGTATATTAAAGCACTGTGCCATCCATAAGATAGATAATGGAAATCAGCCTGATTCAAATGCCCAAATTAAAACAGTCTATGTTGGGAATTTCAAGATGTGGATCTACTTTCTGAAGCTGGTATCCCCTCTTAGGACATAGGTGGCTTTGTGGAAGTGGGGAAGAAAGCAGAGAATCAAGCCAGAGTAAGCTATTAGCTAAACACAGCCTCGGCTCCTGTCACTAGCTGAGTTCACTGAGAGGAAGGAGAAACACAAGATGCTTTCTTTCTTGCATGCTTTATCACAGAGGTAGGTCAGGTAGACCACACATGAAAGTAAAGCCCTGAGCGTGTCATGAAACTGGTTCAGTTCTCAAAAGAACAGTAAAGTAAGCCTTTTTTTCCCCTGGCCAAACATTTGGGTAATTCAATTCTGAAGGTCCTGCAGTTTCAGTTGCATTTGAAGTAGAAGATACTTTCAGGAGTCATTTTATTGATTAGAAGAAATGTTTGTTTGTTTTTTTTTTAAATGACAGAAATAATATGATTCCCCCAGATGAAAATCAAACCATAAAACTAGATTATCAAGGTAAAACTGGATATAGCTAGGTTTTCAGGGTGACCTTTTCTGAATTAGCTGTAGTCAGACTAACTTCCCCAGCATTACTTCAATATTTGATATTTATTGAAAAATTCTCTTTTCTCCGTTAGACATTGCTTCAACAAAGATGAAAATAAAGAAAACATCTGGATCCTTCAACAAGAATTTTCTTCTAGGTTCCTGTATAAAATACTTGTCTGTTAAGTCCTACCTTCTAGGAATATCTATCCTACTAAATGTTCTGCCTTTACTAGCATTAGCTTTCTTATTCAAGGTATTTTTATTACCTTAAGGAAATTAGAAATATCTTTATGAAGTGACTCTCCAGTTGGGCTTAGACATCAGAAGAGTTACTTTTTAGCCATTTTCAAAGAATCATTTTTATGGTTTAAACAGGTCTAGGAAAGTGTATGAGTTATAGTAAAAAAAAACAAACAAAAAACCCAAAAAAGATAATTTCTGCTGGGTAAGGTATCTATCTTACAGAAGAGATAATTTTTATTTCCATTATCCATTATTTTCCTTATATTAGACTGTCATCTCTCTGGAACAGGGCTCATCATCTTAACCTGTCTCAAGTACAACATTGACCTGAAACTTGATTGGACAGCTTTAGCTGATCCTTTTCAAACAGGACTCTGGAGACACAGAAAGTGTGGCCTGCAGCTAGAATCTATCACCATTCTACAAATCTATTCAAAGAAAAAGATCCACACCCAGTCTGCCTAGTTGCAACTGCGCTTTTCTTATTGCCCTGGCTGCAAACTTCAATAAAGGAACAGCATTTAAAAATGGATTCTTTTATCTCAGAGTACAAATCATTTTACACCTGGAGTAGGTCTATTTATGGACAATAAATTATTAACTAGCGTATTTTCATAAGTTTGATTCACTAGCCCACTCTTTTCCAGGTAGTTTGTACTAACAATATCTTGAGTCCTCAAGGTGCCAATCTGAATCATCATGTCCCTACCTGCCTAATCTGCATGTACAATCAGATGATTAACAGTACATTTGGCTTGCTGTCCTAGTTGACTTTTGTTTCTAAAATGCTCAGATAAACTTTGAATGCAGAAATTATAATTACAATAGAAAAACCTGCCTTTTGCAATGTTTTGGTCTTTACTGTATATGTTTTTGAATCAACTTCATTTTCTATATGGAAACAGTCCAAAACCAACAATGTTGTCTCTCTTAAATGAGTGGTAATGCAGGTGACAAAAAACTTTTAAAGATAATATTTCTGTCACAAAGCATGGAAATATGAGGCATTGAAAGCTATGAAGTTGCCTAAAGCAAAAAACATTTTGCAAAGAGACTCTTAGTATCTATGTTTCTCCCAGGCTTACCTCAGGGACAATTTTATATGCAAAAATATAAATTTTACTTTCACCTAAAAGTGAATAAAAGTCAATTTTCTCACTTGTGCTGTTTTGCTATACAGGAAAAGACTTTTTTCCTCTGCCAGTGAGATTTTTTTTTTCGCTAACACCCAGCAAACGAAGAACAGATAAAAATGCAACATGTGCACAAGAAAAAAAATATCCTTTTCGACATGCCAACCTGGGATATATCATCTCTCTTTGTGGGAGTGGGAAGCGAAAATTTATTTCAATAGATCTGCATTTAGAAAAATCTACTAGCCAACTACTCAAGGTAGCCTATCACCCCAGCTCACATAGGTGGATGGTGGATTTTCCATCAGCTAGTTTATGACACGGCATTTTCGTGTGTTTTGCAGCAAATATGCAATTAGACACTGTTATCTTCATGGGCCACCTACCACCAAGCCCCCAGCTGCATGAACTCACTGTCTTGAATGTTATGTTATACTGTCACAACCGTAATTAGCTCTCAAATGAAGACCCCATAGTATGGAAGAAATGGAGTATCTATCATTCAACTAATCTGAAGGAAAAGTAAGCTTTCCAGTGTGACTCATCACCTCAAGCTGCATATTCCTGGAGGAAAGTCCCTTTCCTACTACTCTTTTTTAGAAGCTGGCTGCAAAAAGATCATAGAATCATAGAATTGTAGAACAGTTAGGGTTGGAAAGGACCTTAATATCATCTAGTTCTAACACCCCTGCCATGGGCAGGGACACCTCACACTAAACCATGTCACCAAAGGCTCTGTCCAACCTGGCCTTGAACACTGCCAGGGATGGAGAACTCACAACTTCCCTGGGCAACCCATTCCAGGGACCACCATGCTTACAGTAAAGAACTTCCATCCAATCTAAACTTCCCCTGTTTAAGTTTGAACCCGTTACCCCTTGTCCTATCACTACAGTCCCTAATGAATAGTCCCGACCCAGAATCCCTAAAGCCCCCCCTTCAAATACTGGAAGCCTGCTATGAGGTCTCCACACAGCCTTCTCTTCTCCAGGCTGAGCAGCCCAAACTTTCTCAGCCTGTCTTCATACGGGAGGTGCTCCATTCCGCTGATCATCCTTGCGGCCCTTCTCTGGACTTGTTGCAACAGTTCCATGTCCTTTTTAAGTGGAGGACACCAGAACTGCACACAATACTCCAGGTGAAGTCTCACAAGAGCAGAGTAGAGGGGCAGGATCACCACCTTCAACCTGCTGGTCATGTTCCTTTTGATGCAGCCCAGGATACAGTTGGCTTTCTCGGCTGCAAGCGCACACTGAAGCTGACTCATGTTCATTTTCTCATCAACCAACACATGCCCAAGTCCTTCTCCACAGGGCTGCTCTGAATCTCTTCTCTGCCCAACCTGTAGCTGTGCCTGGGATTGCTCTGACCCGGGTGTAGGACCTTGCACTTGTCATGGTTAAACTTCATGAGGTTGGCATCAGCCCACCTCACAAGCGTGTCAAGGTCCCTCTGGATGGCATTCCTTCCCTTCAGCCTATCAACCAAACCACACAGCTTGGTGTCAACGGCAAACTTGATGAGGGCGCACTCAATCCCACTGTCCATGTCACCGACAAAGATGTTAAACAAGACCAGTCCCAACACTGATCCCTGAAGGACACCACTCGTTACTGGTCCCCGGCCGGACATTGAGCCATTGACCACAACTCTTTGTGTGCAGCCATCTAACCAGTTCTTTATCCACCGAGTGGTCCACCCATCAAATTGATGTCTCTCCAATTTAGAGACAAGGATGTTGTGTGGGACAGTATCGAACGCTTTACACAAGTCCAGGTAGATGACATCAACTGCTCTACCCCTGTCCATCAGTTCTGTAACCCCACCATAGAAGGCCACCAAATGGGTCAGGCAGTATTTCCTCTTAGTGAAGCCATGCTGGCTGTCACCAAGCACCTTGTTGTTTTTCATGTGCCTTAGCTTCCCTTCCAGGAGAATCTGCTCCAAGATTTTGCCAGGCACAGAGGTGAGACCGAGTTGTCTGTAATTGCCTGGGTAATCAATTCTCCCCTTCTTGAAAATGGGGGTTATATTTCCCTTTTTCCAGTTGTCGGGAACTTCACCTGACTGCCATGAGTTTTCAAATACGATGGCCAGCGGCTTCGCAACTTCATTCACCAGCTCCTTCAGGACCCATGGATGGATTTTATCAGAACCCATTGACTTGTGCACGTTCAGATTTTTAAGATGGTCTCGAACCAGTTCCTCTCCTACAGTGGGCCCAAGGTCTTCATTCTCACAGTCCCTGCGTCTGCTTTCCAAGACTTGGGTGGTGTGGTCAGAGCATTTGCCAGTGAAGACCGAGGCAAAGAAGTCATTCAGAACCTCAGCCTTCTCCAAATCCTGTGTAGCCAGTTCTCCTGATAGCTTCCAGAGAGGGCCCACGTTGTCCCTAGTCTGTCTTTTATTTGCTATGTACCTATAGAATCCCTTCCTGTTATCTTTCATTTCCCTAGCCAAGTTTACTTCTAACTGAGCCTTAGCTTTCCTAACCTGGTCCCTAGCTTCTCGGACAACATCCCTATATTCTTCCCAGGCCTCCTGTCCTTGCTTCCAGCTTTTATAAGTCTCTTTTTCCCTTTGAAGTTTCCTCGGGAGCTCCTTATCCATCCAAGGAGGTCTCCTGGCCCTCCTACTGCACTTCTTTCTAGATGGGATGCAACACTCCTGAGCTTGCAGCAGGTCATCCTTGAATATCAACCAACAGTCTTGGGCCCTGCTGCCCTCTAGGGCTATATCCCATGGAACCTTACTAAGCAGGTTCCTGAAGAGGCCACAGTCTGCTCTCTTGAAGTCCAGGGCAGTGAGCTTGCTACACGCTCTTCTCGCTGTCCTGAGGATCTCAAATTCTACCATCTCGTAGTCGCAGCATCCAAGGCTGCCCTGGAGCGTCACATTTCCAACGAGCCCTTCCCTGTTGGTGAGCACGTGGTCAAGCATTGCACCTCTCCTTGTTGGCTCCTCTATTACTTGCAGAAGGAAGCTGTCTTCCACACAATCGAGGAACCTCCTGGATTGCTTGTGCTGGGCCGTACCTTCCCTCCAACAGATATCAGGGTGGTTGAAGTCAGTGGGATTTACTAGACCAGGCAGCCTCTCTGCACCATCCCTAATCTGTGCGCCTGGTAGGCAGCACACCTCCCTTGAGAATGGGTCAGGCCAACAGATGGGTGCCTCTCTTCCTTTCAAAGTAGAGTGCCCTACTACTATGACCAGCCACTTTTTCCTGCCAGCATCAGTAGTGATCTTTATTGATGCATCAGCCGGTTGTTCATGGTGCTTGTTTCCTCATTAGCCCCCTGCAGGACAGCAAAGCAGTTCTGGGTGGGGACAACAGATTGAGGAGGAAGCCCCTGGCTTTTAATTGTCCTTTTCCTCCTTTTTTTGTTGTTTTTTTTTTTTTTTTTTTTTGTCACTAATTCTCAGCTTCCCGGGTTAACGGCCGCCTTCTTTCCTCCGTGAGCTACAGGGTATGCTTGAGGCCCCTGCTTCCTCTCAGCTTCCCTGACACCTTCCAGCCTATTGACAGCATCCCGCAGCTCAGCCCCTGCTGCAGGAGGACCTCCACCAGGGAGCACCGAGTGCAGCCCTGCCCATTGTGCACCCTCCCCTCACCAGACCAGTGCAGGCACTCTACAGTCTGAGCTCTGCACTGCAGCCTCCCCTCTCATCGGCTCTGTCTGGGTGCCTACCCTGGCCACCACTGGGGCAGCCAGAGCAGAGCTCCCAGTCCAGGCCCTGGTCATTAGGCGAGTGCTCACCATCTCGCTCACCTGCCCACACGAACTGCCGCACAAACTGCTTCCACCCAGCTTGTTTGCTGCGCAAACTGCCTCGACTCACCCTGTTTGCCAACCCTGTTTGCCATGCTCCTGGTCACTAAAGAAAAATCTTTATTTCTGTTGATATTTCTTCAACTCTTTCTGTGGAAACCATAGTTCAAAACAAACTTGGCATGAGAGGGCAAACCATTCTTGACATCTCATTCAGGCTGTTGAGATGCCACAAGACAGGAAACATATTCCCTTCACAAAATTAAAAATGTTGTTCTGAGACCTGGATTTAATCACCCAGGCTCTGCATATAGCAAAGGCAGGTAGCTAAATCCTTCCAAAGTATTGAACATTCCCCTAGCCCCTCTCCCCTATAAAAAAGGTAGTCATGGTTTTTGGTCCTCCTTTTCTCCAAAGAATGCAAACGCTGAGTTTTCACTTGCTATGACAGTACTGTGGGCAGTAGGTGATACATAGAAGCATCGACTAGTCCTTCTCTTGTCTATGCCACTGTGTATGTCAGAGGGTACCAGAAGTATTACTCAGAGCACAAGAAGGCTTTTCCTGTTGGAAGAAGAATTTTGATAATGTCCTATATTACTCAGCGATCAACATCATGTTGGAAA